TAAACTTTTTAAAAAGATAGAGAAGGGGATGTGAAGGGTAAACAAAAGGAGGAGGCTGCAGTGCTTGGTAAGAAATGTACGCATTATCCTGCCCATGTAATTGTAACCCCTCTGTACAGTATCTTCACAAATAAAATAAAAAAATGCAAAATATATAAAAAAAGAAAGAAAGAATAAAAGGAAGGAAAAAAGAAAGGAAGGAGGGAGGAAGAGAAGGAAAAAACTAAGAACTTAGAAAATGAGCACATAGTTGCTAGAAAGGCTGAATCCTGAGGATCATAGTTCCAATCCATCATAGACAGGAAAATCTTTGATTCTCTTACCTGCAATTAAAACTAAAAAGCAGGAAGTAAAGGTGTGGCACAAACCGTATCATGCCAAACTTAAGTGGAGAAAGCTAAAGGAATGTACCCAAGCCCTAAGTTCAAATCTCGGTAATTGTACATAAAGGAAAAATTAAGTGACTGAGCATATTGAAAAAGATATATCCCAATGCAAATGCGACAGATTTAAAGAATGTTAAAGATAAAATCATTTTCAGTACTTATCCTTTATTTTTTGTCAATTATGGGACTTGAACACTGGCCCTGAGTTCTGTCTCTCAGCTCTTCAGCTCAAGACGAACACTCTATCACTTGAGTCACAGCGCCACTTTCAGTTTTCTGGTGGCTTTTTGGCAAAGAGTTTCACGGCTTTTTCTGCGCAGGCTGGCTTTGAACTGCAATCCTCAGAGCTCAGCCTCCTTAGTAGCTGGGATTACAGGCGTGAGCCACCCGAATCTGGCTTCAATACTTATCCTTGATAGTGAGACAAGCATGTCATTGGACCCAATCTTGTTGATTCAACCTCTGGGTTGAATAGAGAGGGAATTCTCATAATTTGACCATCTGCCTCTGTTGTCATATCCTTTGAGTGGCTTCAGGTGTTAGAACTTCTAACAAATATGAGTGTATGGAGGGTCAGCTGAATGACAAGTGCCTTAGCTTACTAGGCACTGGGATATGAAATATAATGCTTACCATCATTTAATATTTTTCTTTCAATTTGGATGAGATGGCTCTGGATTCTGAGCTGTACATTAAGGAAATTAAAGTGTTCTCCTGATAAAAGTTTCTAATCAAGGAACTCCCACCTTGAAGATCAGAATAGTTGAGAACATGTCTTAGCAAACACAGATGGTGAGGATGATAACAACAAAATAGAGAAGTGGGAAGCTCCAAACCCAAATAACCCACAGAAAATCTAACAAGAAAATAAATGTAACTTAAAGACTGGTTGAAATAACTTTTCCTATTGTGCTAATCAGACCTCTGTTCCTGGAATGATTAGCTGAGATAAATGGTTTCAAGGAGAAATGATATTTTGGCTTACAATTTCAGAGATGTCAGTCAATAGTCAGCTGTTAGATGAATGAAATAGGATTATGGAGGAAGAATGTATTGGAGAGAATATTCATCTTATGGGAGCCAGGAATTAAATAGAGGAAAAAAAAGAGGAGGGTCCAGGTATTACCTCCAAAGTCACGCCCTCAGTGATCTCTTTCCCTCAACTAATTATTCTCTTCTGACATTCCACCATATCCCAATAGTCTGCTCAGATTTTGAATCCACCAACTTATTGAATCATTAAACCCAAGCCTTCATCATCTGATGATCTCTGAAAATGCTTTCAAGGACAACTAAGAGGTGGACAGTGTTAATCACCTAAGATGTCTGCCAATGCAATCAAGTTGATAATCAAGAGTAACAAGCAGGGCTGGGAAGGTGGCTCAGTGGTAGAGTGCTTGTCTCGCATGCATAAGGCCCTGGGTTTGATTCCTCACCACCACATAAGCAGAAAAAAGTCAGAAAATGGTGCTATGGCTCAAGTGATAGGGTGATAGCTTTGAACTGAAGAGCTGAGGGACAGTGCCCAGGCCGAGGTCAAGCTTCACAATTGACAAAAATCAAAACAAAACAAAACAGTAAGCAACATATATGTATATTGGGAAATACTTCAAAATAGATAATTTACAGCATCAAACATCGAACTCCTATAAATAGGATAGCTTTGTCAATGGTTCCCATAAAGGAGATTGTTGAACTGGGTGTATGCCCAGGTCTTCATAGTAATGAACAACCTGTGTTTTCTGCTAAAATAAGCATTAAAGTCCCTGCCTCTCTCTCTCTCTCTCTCTCTCTCTCTCTTTCTGTCTCTCTCTCTCTCTCTCTCTCTCTCTCACACACACACACACACACACACTTACACACAGAGACGTTGCTTTGAGATTCCTGGGAAAAATATCAATGACTCATAAAATGTGGTCATTAAAACCCCTTCCATGAGAATCAAAGTTCACACACACTTACACACACAAATCAACAGTTGTGTAAAGATTATCCATGGGACTAATAATATGGGATCATCAAAAGGCCTTCCATATTATGAGAGTATTTTTTAACTAATTGTATTGCAGTTACTTGTAATTCAAGTGATTTCATGAGGAATTAAGTGTTTTTATATGTATAAAGAAGAATGATAGAAAAATAATGTCATTGGCAAAATTCAGTTAATTTATTCCCTGAGAAGTCTATTTTTTTCAAAATTCTGCATTCTTTCTAATATACACTTACACACAGAGATACATACATAGGGACATACATATGTACTAACACACATGCTGTGTGTATTTTCAAGCAGATGTTGAGTATAGAATTGTTGATATTGGAAGATTCATTAAGCAGAGATAGAAACTAAATAATAAATTATAGTGGCAATGGCACAGAAAAAAGGAATGATATGTTTTTCATGTTATTGTAAAGAATAAAATTAAGTGGTCAAAGTAGAAAGTGATTTGTGTCAATGTTGCAGTAAACTTAATATATGTGTTTGTGTATAAAATATATGATATTCTATATAATATATTAAAATATGTATTATATAATTTATTATATATATTAAACCATTCAGAACAAATTGGTGAAATCTGAGGTTGCTACCATTGACATGATTACTTCATTTTTCTACATTTATGTGTTTGCAAAACTATCTATGTTAAGAACTTGATTTTTTCTTTGGTATGGGGGCTTGTGTTGAGACTGCAATGCAGGAACTGGACATTGTCCTTTTGCATTTTCTCTCAAGGTTACTACTTGAACCCCAACTCAAAATTGCCTTTTTGCTGATTAATTACAGATGGAAGATGGCTGGGCATCAGTAGTTGATGCTGGTAATCCTAAATACTCAGGAGACTGAGACCTGGAAAATTGTAGTTTGAAGTTTTCCAGGCAGGAAATCCCATGAAACTCTTCAGTTTAGCACAAAAACAAAACAAGACACACAAAAATGCTGGAAGTAAAGCTGAGACTCAAGTAATAAAATACTTACCTTCAGCAAAATTGCCCAAAAACAGTGGTCATGCCCTGATTGTAAACACCAAAACTGGCACAAAGAAGAGGGTTGAGTGTACATTTTTGTCTGGGTCAGCTTTGGATTGACACCCTGAGATGTCATTTTCCTGAGTACCTGGGATTAGAGGTATGAACCACTGGCACATAGGCAAAGTTTTTGTTTTTTTTAAGTAAAGGAAATAAATAAATACTAACAAACGGATGCCATCATTCTTTATCCAGCTTGTGAAATTAGGATTGTTAAATATTTTGATTTGGGAGAAAGAAGAACCATCAGAAATAAAATAAATATTCCTGTTGTAATCATATCTGTTTTGACTTTCAAATTTTATGTTCATAATTTTTGTCTACAGAACAGAAGACAAACATACTACTTTCCTATCAAGGCAGTCATCCTCACTATATTCTGTCCCAGAATTGTCAGAGTCAGATGGTATGAAATTGCTATTATCAGGGTCAATATTCCTTGATAGGATTCGAGGTTACTACCTGTCCTCTTCCCCTCAGAGAAGTGGAATGAGTATATCATCAGAGGAACCAAGGACATCTAAATCTACTGACATGACCTGTTCCAGAGCAGACAAAGATATGGGTAAATATGTAACAAATATTTTAGTCCATTTGTAAAGCATTTCTTTTGTTGTTTTAGAGGTGATATACAGTGGGGTTACCTTTATGTATATCAGGTAATAAGTATATTTTCATGCTTTTTGCCTAGTATCATCTCTTTACTCATTCTCTTATTCCCTCCCTCTCATCTCTGCCCATAAGTTGCTTCATTCACTGTCATCAATGTCCAGTGCAGCCAGTAGGCTCCACTGATTAATTTTTAACCCGTTTTCTGATGATGCTGTGCTCTCCCCCAACCTTCCCTAAGATGTGCAAAGGTATACACTATATATGAGGTAAGGAATACAAAGTCTCCTGAAAATGAAAAGACAAATTAAGAAAAAGTCCCTAGTTTCCTTATCTTTAGAGTTCATTTCAGTGTGTGTATTATTCTATATACATTTGAAGAGGTGCTTGAGTATTAGAACTTGGTGATTATCTCCTAAGACTATCCTCTTTTGTTGTCAATGGATAGGGGGTCTAGAATCCTGTATAATTTGTAATATTCTGTTATGTCTTAAATCTGACTTCTGCAAATTGGGGAGAGCATGTGCCATTTTTCTCTCTGATCTTGGCTTACTTCACTCAACAAGAGTTTTTCTAGTTCCATCCACTTCTTTATGAATGCCATTATTTTATCCATTCTATTGGCTGTGTGAAATTCCATTGTATATAGGTACCCCACTTTTTGGATCCATTCATCTATTCTGGGGTAACTGTGTTGTTTCCATAGCTTGACTATTGTGAATAGTGTAACAAAGAACATGGCTGTGCAGTTGTCTTTAATATCCTGGCTCATGATATTTAGGGATAATGCCCAGGAATGGTATGCCTGGGTCGTAGGGTAGGTCTATGTATAATTTTTTGAGGAATTCCAAACTGCTTTCCAGAGTGACTGTATCAGTTTTTATTCCTACCAGCAGTGCAGTAGTTGTCTGAATTCAGAATATTGGCCGGTCTAACTCTAGTGAGGAGGTATCTCAGGGTTATTCTGATTTACATTTCCTTTACAGCTAGGGATGATGAACATTTCCTCATGTGTTTCTTTGCCATTCTTACCTCTTCTTCTGAGAAGCCTCTCAGCTCCCATGCCCTTTTAATGATTGCTTTATTAGGTCTGGAAGGGGTTAGTTTCTTCAGCTCCCTGTGTACATTGGATATTAGACCATTGTCTGATATATTGTTGGTGTATTCCCAGTTGTTTGGCTGTCTTTCTAGTTTGGTAGTTATGTCTTTAGCTGTGCAGAAACTTTTTATTTTAATTTAGTCTCATTTGTTGAATCTCTTTCCTATCTGTTCTGCAAATAGAATCTGGGACACTATTCAGGAACTTCTTGCCTGTGCCTATAAGTTCTAATGTCTTTCTTATTTTGTCTTGCATTAGTTTTGGAGTTTCATGTCTGATGATGAGGTCTTTAATCCATTTTCAGTTTGATATCAGTACATGGTGATTTTCAGTGATCCCTTTGTAGCTGAAAGTAGCTGCCCAGTTTTCCCAATACCAATAGTTGAAGAGGCTGTTTTTATCCACTCTATGTCTTTGGTTCATGTCGAATATCAGATGACCATAAATATTGTGGTTTTCTTTCTGGTCTTCTAGTTTATTACATTGATCTTGGTATATATTGTTGTGTCAATAAAACTTGTTTTTGTTATTATGGCTCTATACTAGAGCTTGAAATCTGGTATTGTAATACCATCTGCATTTCTTATTTTGCCTGGGATTGCTTTATCTATTCTAGGTCTTTGGCTGTTCCATAGGAATTTTTGGACTGTTTTCTCTATTCCAGTATAGAATCTCATTGGGATTTTGACAGGGATTGTAATGACTTTATATATTATTTTTGGCAGGTTAGCCATTTTCATAATATCACTTCTACCTATCTTTGAACATGGAAGGTCTTTCCATTTCTTTGTGACCTCTCTAATTTCTTTCTTTAGATTTTTATAGTTTTCACATTATAGGTCTTTTATATCATTGTTAAGGTTAATTTCTAGATTTTTTGAGGCTATGGCAAATGATTTCATGATTCTCCCTTCTGTTTGTAATTTGTTGGCATGCAGAAAGGCTGCTGATGTTTGTGTGTTAATTTTGTGTCCTGCTACTTGTCCCAAGTTGCTGATTAGTTCTAGGATTTTGGGAATAGACTTTTTTCAGTCCGGCAGGTATAAGATCATGCCATCTACAAATGGGATTAGTTTAATTTCTTTCCCTGCCTTATCTTGCCTTATTACCCTGGCTAATAATTCCAGAATTCTATTGAAGAGGAGTAGAGAGAGTGGGCATACTTACCATGCTACTGATTTTAGGGAAAATGGTTTCACCTTTGCTCCATTTAGTATGATGCTGGCTGTTGGTCTGGCTTATTTGGCTTTTATTATTTTAAAGAATGTTCCTTGTAGTCCTAGTATGAATGGATGTCTTATTTTGTAGGAGGCTTTTTCTACATCTATTGAAATGTTCATGTGGTTCTTAACCTCGGCTCTGTTGACATGGTGAATTACATTTATTGATTTGTATATGTCAAATCAGGCGTGCATCTGTGGAGAAGTCTACTTGGTCATAATGTATGATTTTTAAAAATGTGTTTCTTGATTCTGTTGACTAATATTTTTGTGAGAAGGTTTGCATATGTGTTCATCAGAGAATTGATCTATATTTCTCTTTTTTGTACGATCCTTACCTGGTTTTGGAATGAATGTGATATTGGCTTCATAGAGTGAGTTTGGGATACTTCACTCTACTTCTGTTTCACAGAAAAGCTTGAGGAAAACTGTTATTAGTTCCTCTTAAAAGTCTTTTAGAATTCCACGGCCAATCCATCTGGGCCTGGGCTTTTCCTAGTTAGAAGACTTCTGATTACTTACTCCTTCACATTGTATGTTATTGGTGTTAGTTGATTTATATATTCGTGGTTCAGTTCAGGCAGAATCTATGTTTTTAGAAATTCATTCATTATGCTAATTGTTCCTTCTTTAGTGAGAACATATTTTGGAAGTAGTTCTTTATAATCATTTGGATTTCTTGGATGTTTGTGGTATTTTTTCCTGTGACAGCCCTGAGGTGTGTTATGTTTCCAGCCACTTCCTTATTTTCCTGTATTTTTTCTAGCCTCTTGATCTAGTGTTTTTTTCTGATGTGTTTCCTTGATTTTGATTGTTTCTTCAGATTGTATTCTCTTCTTTAGTATTCTTTGTTTGTCGTGAAAGATTTTAGTTTCACCATCAAATGTAAACTATAGATTCGCTGGGTCTACCAATTTGGACTGGCAGTTGATCTTCAGGACTTGGAAAATAGCATTTCAGGCTTTTCTTGCATTGAGAGTTTGTGTGGAGAGGTCTTCAGTGATTCTGATTTTCTTTCCATTGAAATATAGCTTGCTCTTTGATTCTGCATCATTTAAAATAAATTCCTCGCTATTCAAGTCTAAAGTTTTTACTATGATGTGTGTATATATATTTCTTTTAGGATCCTGTTTACTAAGTGATTTGTATGCTTCTGTTGTGTAGGTGACATTTTCTATTTTAGGTTGTGCAAGTTTTCTATAATCATTTTACTGAATAGGTTTCCATGCCCTTATTATGAAATTCATCCCCCTTATTTATCCCAATTATAAATAGATTCATTTTTTTCGCTGTGTGTCCCAATTCTTGGATTTCCCTTTGGTAATTTCTGAGTATTGTTTCCATTGCTTTGGCTTTCTGTTCCAGCTCCTCTGTTTTTCCTCAATTCCTGATATTCTATTTTTCATCTCACTTATTCTTTTTCCTATGACTTCTACTCTGGTTTTCATTGTGGAAATTGAACCATTTACCCTCCTTTTTCAGTTCCCAAAGTGTTAATTTAATCTTGTAATGATATGTATACTGTGTCTATATTTGTCTGAATCATTTTTTTAAAAGTATTGAAATTTTTTCTTTGTTCTTTTATAAATTAGTTTTATATCTCGAACTTTACTTCATTGATCAATTTTGTCATCATTTCTTCAGTGGTTCTTTTGTCCTCCATTTCTTCTTCACTCTCACTGGAGTTCTTTACTGGATTGCTGTTGGATGTTGTATTTACTTTATTCTCTTGGTTGTCCATGAATCTTTTAATTTTTTGTTTTTATTTATGCATTTGGATTCAGGGATTGTCATGACCCTGGCCCAATCTTGGCCTATAAGTGCCCAACAGTTGGCAGCCTTTTGTTGGCTTGGGCTTGTTCATGCTGGGTAGGTTAATCCACATTGGTCTCCAACTTGTGCCTTTGTGAGCATGCAGCCCCAGGCTAGTTGAAAGGAGCCCAGTCCACTATGCAGTGGGGTATAGAAAAGTTAGGTTTGGCCCCTGAAATAGAACTTGGCTTCAGAAGGGCTGGGTTCCTCACAGGAGCACAGGATACACTTTGTGCCATGGTCCCTGGTTGATCCTTATCCCACAAGTGGCCAGCACTTGATCTGATATCTTGGCACCTGTGTGGGTGTTTTGGCTCTTGACAGGATGTGCTCCATCAGTTTCCAGTAGTCACACACAACTTGCAGTTCTTGACAGGGGCCAGGGGATAGGTGCCAGTGTATGCAACTTGTTTTGCAACTAACAACAGGAAGAGTGCTCTGTCAGTGGCTGGCACATACCTGAAATTCCCTGCCTCCACCAGCCACCGAGCTCTACAACCTTCTTTTATGGAAGGCTAGGAATGGATACTTACTCTGGGATGAAGTGATCCCTGCAGGTATGTGGACTTTAGTTCTCAGACCTGCCTACTCATTCTTCCAATAGTCAGGGCTGTGGGTGACAAAGGGTCATAGTGCTCATCAAATATGAGTTTCTGTGACCTCCCACTGGAAGCCAACAGGTGAAGAAGGGCCTGGCCTCTTTGTCCAATTCAAGTATGGTATTCCTTCTTGGGTGGAGTGAGAGGAGTCTGGGTAAAGCTCTGTGGGCCACTGTCAGGGCTGTTCTCTTGTGGGGATGAGAGGTACCAAGCAGGGTACTTACTGATCCTGGAACTCGTTGTGAAATAACTAGAGGTGCTTTTGGCAGATCTCTGTATATTTGCACTGCAGGTTGCTGGTTGGAGGCTGTGTCCCAGCTTGCTGTGTTTTACTGCATTGGTCGTGGGCTGAGTGGTTTGTTTGTGCTGTCCGGGTCCAGTACTGTGGGACTATTTTGCAGCAGAGTTCTGCAGTGCATGGTGGTCCTGGAGTCCCAGGCAGCTGTGGCCACGTATGTGGCTTAATAATGTATGTCAATAGATGCATACCCTATAGACAGGAGAATTTATTATTGGTTCCCCAACGGTTCATTTCTCAATGGTCTATGCCATTCGTGCTACTAGGCTTATTTAAATGCATGTGTCCAATACATCAGGAACCAAATTTACATGTCTAGGGTTACCTTAATGGCATGCATTTGGAGCTGTAGAATTGCAATGGAATGAAATTTCCTCCATATGTAGTGTGAATGGTCACTTCTTCTGAATGCATACAGAAAGACTATGCTACAGCTTGAGTTTTTGTGCCTTTAGGAGATCAATGATTGAAATGAGGGATAGACAAACAGATGAGCCATAATTGCACAGGGAAAAGGTGGAAGCAATAAAGAGCACATGAAGAAGAGAAATATGTAAGCAGTCATGTGACTGAGACATAGAGCAGACAGCTGTCAGCTATACCCCTGGGTCTTTTTGTTCTCCTTTAAGTTGATATGGAATGTTCATGGCTCCAAGAAGCCATCACTGTTCCCAGGAGTGTAAGACCAACACTTTTTCCATTCTCTACAATGTGAAACTTCAGGGGAAATTATTTAGTATCTCTGGATTTCATTTTACTCAACTCCAGAGAGGATTAAAATTTCAACTTCATGGCTGGTGCAGTGGTGCATGCCTATATTCCAGCTATTGGATATGCAGAGACTGTACCACAGCAGGAGAAAATATATTGAAATTTCATTTTAAAGAACTTGGTGCACAAATACACAATGATAATCTCAATTACAATGCCAGCACGAGTGTGGTGTATGGTGCATGAATGTCCTAGGAAAAAATAGAAATCTCTACCAAAATAAAAGTGCTAGATGTTTACTCAAGGTATAGAATGACTACCTATAAGCAGAAAGACCTGACTTCCAACACCAGTAGGACAAAATTAAAAAGTTATCTTCAAAAGGGTAAGGATGAATTTCAGTGAGATGTTTGAAAATTGGGTAACATGGAATAAGAACTGAATACAATAGTTGTGATTAGAAGCAAACTTTAAAACACATTTTTAGAAGAGTCTAGATTTTGGTTCTTTATTTCAATTAGCAATCAACTACTATGTTTCAAAATGTTTGGCAGAAATTCTGCCTAACTCTTGTTGTGCCTCCATTTCTCAGACATGTTATAGGAGTTTATATTCTTAATGCCAATCATTTATGTTTAATGTAGCTTCTGGAATTTCACCTAGACTGTACACAGAGTTATCTATGATTTTGTTCTGCTCAAATTACAGGTATATTCTCTTTTCTTGTTTGAGTGAGAAATTTTAGTTTACTGTAGAAGCTTCCTAAGTCAACATTGATACTTTGGAATAACAGAAGTTCAAGCTTGAAAATCTGAAAACAAAATTGCTGTACACTAATTAGTGGCTCAATTCTGTAAGTCAGGCTAATAAGGAGGCTAATATCTGAGAATTGTGGCCAACCTGAGCAGAAAAGACTTTGAGAAATATATCTGTAATATAACCACCAAAAATCCAGAAGTGGATTGGTGATTAGTTGGTAGAGTGCTAGACTTAAGCAAAAAGCCAAATTAAAAGGTGACCCGCCCCTAAAGTTCAAACACTAGAACTAGCAGACATTCACATATACACACAAGTACAAATATAAAATCTATGAAGGATTTTTTATGATTTGGCTCTGTATCCCATCAAAACAAATCTTCCATACCTGATATATATATGATAAAGCTACCAAGTTAAGGGGATAAACAATACCAAGGCTGCTCTTCTCAAGATGATTTCGGATATAACCATCATGTTTATTGCATTTGCTATAAGATATGAATTTTGATTTAATTTTCTCATTCAGTATCTGTAGATTCTGTTTCTGTGGGTGGATGTCTGGGTCCTTGGAGACCTATGGTCATTACTTCATTGCTATGTATTATTCCACATGAACTAAACTTTGTGAGAAAAATTATTTCTTTCTTTTAGGAATACAAGGTTTTCACCCTCACGGTTGACTGCATGTTAGATGTGACATGTTCCCCTTCCTTCATGAATAAGAGGATTAAGTAATACCCTCCTGGAAATGAGCTAAATATCAGTGCTCCCTAAAAAATATGAGAGGAAGCTTTCTTATGAGTTATGGCGTGAACATTCTTGAGGCACTTAGTTCAAACACAGAGCAAGGAATAATAAAAACAAAGACAAAAACTATTATTTCTTTTTATTTATACTGTTGCCCTTGCTTTGGTATTTTTAATTTATTAAAATCTATAGCACATAATAGATGTTCTTAATCCTCTGGTGATTTTTATGAAGTTAATCAAACATTCACCTTGTAATAGCAAGTGTAATTTATTGAGTTCAAACTAAATACTAAGTCCACAACTCTGTCATTACTTAATTGTCAGGAAAATTACATTTTCTAAGGTTCTCACTTGGCTTGATTATGTGTGGTACAACTGCACATCTATCTAAATATAAAATATGAAGTTATTTCAACTACATAATGATTATCCTTTCTAATAATGTAGGCATTATTAGATTAAAAAAGCATGGCTTTCCATTCAAAACCATTCAAATCTGTTTTGTATCTAGGTCTTAGCCATAACATTTTCAATTTCAATAATAAAGTTCTTTTTTTACTTTTTTATTTTTTTTATTGTGAGAATACTGTACAGAGGAGTTACACTTACTTGGGCAAGATAATGAATACATTTCTTATCAAGCATTGTTGCCTCCTCATTGTTTCCGCTTCCCACCCCTTCCCATACTCCTCCCCTCCTCCTACCCGATCCTCCCCCCACCCCCCACCAAAGTTGCTAAGTTCAGTTTTTGACATAAAGACTTGTACATCATTGTTGCAATGGATCCACCTGTATCTCTAGTTAAATGATTTGTTTTTTTTACATTCCCCTCCACAAATTATACCAATATCAAATACAGTGAAAGTATGGGTTATACTGTGGGGGAGGGACATACAAAGCAACATAGAAATCATTTTATAAATATGATAGAAACAATTGTATGAAAGAAAAAAACAAAACAAATTTGAATACTTATCTTGGGGTTCATTCCCCTAACATCAGCTTATCTGACCTTTTATACATATACTAGTTATTGCAAATAAGGGACCTATGCAAATGGGACCTATGTTTCTTTGGGCCTGCCTTACTTCACTTTATATAATTTTTTCCTGTATAATAAGAAAAGTTATTTGATAGACAAATTGAAGTCGTATTTTCCCCCAATATTGAAGAATGAACTTAAGGCCTAGGTTCTGTCCCTTAGCTTTTTCAAACCTGGATAGTAGCTATGACTTGAACTACACCTCAACTTCTGGATTTGGGGAATTTAAACGGAGACAAATGTCCTTTAGGATTCCATATCTGAACTGACTTTGAATTTCCATGCTCATATCCCAGATTTCTGAGGAGCTAGAATGAAAGGAATGGGCCACTGATGTTTGAGCAACTGGTGAAAACTTAAAGTCTTTACTTAACTGAAGTACTAACAGGCTATCTGAAGCATCTATCTAGTATCTATCTAGTATCTAAATAAAGTATCAAGGAATCAAATGTTTAGGTTTTGTGTCATACATGATGAGTGCAGAAAATATAGAACAGACTTTGCATATACCATATCTATGTTTAGCACATGAAAATAGTTTACCTACTCAAATCCTCTGCTGAAAGAAATACTTGCATACTCGTATCATCTAACAAAGGTGAGCAATCAGTATGCTGAAGTCCTGGAGAATTGAATTAATATGTAAGAATTAAGTTATTTGATAAACATTTCTTTAAGTAATTTTATAGATATTCCTTTCAATTCTAATTGGGCTTGATGATGACCAATGACCATAAATCTTAAAAGAAATATGGACAAGACAAGGAAGAATGGTAATATCCTTGGGGTCTTTTCCTATACTTTTACTCACCTTTTATCATTTGCATCTCTGTTTAATTAGGAATGAGGAACTACTTATCTCCTGAGACAGATGTGAATGGAGAAGGAGAGGATTATTTCTTATCTTTGTTTGGTGATTCAAAAAAAGTTAGTGCACAGTCGATCCAATGCCAGGATCCTAGCAAACAACTTTCTATGATGCTTGAAGAAGTTGGCAGATCTACATCCAGGTATTTATTTTATTTGAATAATGTAGCAGCCTCTACTGAGTTAAAACCAATTAATAATAGAAAATACAGTTCTATTATTTGGATTCATGACTTCTCAAATGCACTAAGCAATTCATTGGAATGTAAATGGTTTATAAGCAAATAAAATTAAACACTGTAGAAAAACAAATAAAAAATTGGTGCCTGGATACTGGAAGATGCTCTGCACTGATGCCTGGCTCGCTTCTGTAATCCTAGTTATGCAGAAGACTCAGATCTGAGGAGAATTGTTCAAAGCCAACAAGAAAATGACCTTCTTATCTACAATTAACCAATATATCAGAAGTTGAGCTGTGGCTAAAGTTGTATATCACTAGCCTTAATATAAAAAGCTTAGGGGCAGTGGTGCCCATAATCTGAGTTCAAGCCCCAGTACTGCCCCACCAAAGTTACTAGAATAATCGAATGATATACATTCTCTACAAATACAATCAACCCAATTATTCGTGGACCTATTTATTGTTTGTGAATCCTTCAGATTAACTGATATCTTTTCCTTGTACTAAGCAAAGTGGGAGACATGGGGTTTTACTTTCATGGTATATTTTTATACTGGCAATATCCATTGTAAAAACAAATTGATCATAAAGAATAGTAATACTCAAAGAAAAGAGCTGATTCAGCCAGAACTTTTCTTAAACTTGTTTTCTGAGCAACAGGAATTATAGTTTGGCTTCAGTGGCTCACACAATCCTAGCTCGACCAGAAGACTGATATCTGAGGATCATGGTTCAAAGCCAGCCAAGGCAGGCAAGTCCCTGAGACTCTTACGTCCAGTTAAACACCAAAGATTTGGAAGTGGAGGAATAGTTTGAGTCCTATGGTGCCAATCAAGTCCAAGTCCTATGGTGCCAATCAAGTACAAAATCTAAAAGACATCATCTAGGCCTCAAATTAAAGCACCATGACATACACACACACACACAGACACACACACACACATACTGTGATATATTACAAACAAAACACATTGATGAAAGGTGTGAGATAGCTTAATGAATTTAGCATTCTCACGTAATTATCAGGTAAGAAGTTTGTTTTTTCTTCTCCTAATGTTAGATTTTTTTTTTGGTCGGTCGTGGGGCTTGAACTCTGGGCATGGACACTGTCCCTCAGCTCTTCAGCTAAAGGCTAGTGCTCTACCACTTGAGCCACAGCACCACTTCTAGCTTTTCTGCTTATATGGTGCTGAGGAATTCAACCCAGTGCCTTATGCATGCAAGAAAACCATTCTACCACTGAGCCATCTTCCCACCCTAATGCTAGGTTTGTTAAAATCTATCTCCCATATCCAATTGGCATTATAATTTAAACAGAGAAAATAAATGTATTTGTAACCATTTCCAAACATGATTTTAAAGTAAAGATAAAAAGAATTATACCAGGTAGCTTCATTCACACCTACTATGTTAAAATGGTGACTTGTTTTAGGCAAAAGTATTAGAACGTATGGGATCATGATTTTAAATATTTTCAGTCAGTTCAAGGAAGGTGTTTAGGTGAGGTTTGAGGGACTTAAACATGGTTAAGTCACCAAGGTTAAAAAGGGAGTTTGCTTCCTGCTGGGGTTATTCTGGGACTTTTTTTTTTTTAGAATAACATTTATAGTAGACTTAAAAGAATAAATTCCTGAGGGGGGACCAAGATGGCGACGGGGCAGTAGGGAAACGCCACAGCTCTCTCCAACCAAAAAGAGAGTTCGAGTTCCAACGCTTAATCTCCCCAAGAGACCGACAACAACAAAAAGACGAACACTCAGAGAAAAAC